CACAAAGTGCTGTGCCTGCCACGAAATCTGCACATGGAGGTTCACAACGTGCTGCGCCTGCCACGAAATCCGCACATGGAGGTTCACAAGGTGCGGTGCCTGCCACGAAATCTGCACTTCAAGAAACAAGTGAAAACTCTAACCACAATGGAGGGACGATTCTGAGCATGATCCGAGAATGATCCGACCATGGCCCGAGACCGTCTCGCAACCGTCGTTCCGCGGAGCTTGCCCGTCGAGGTTCGGAGAAGCATGGAGGCTCACAAAGTGCTGCGCCTGCCACGAAATCTGCACATGGAGGTCACAAAGTACTGCGACTGCCACGCAATCTGCACATCGAGGTTCACAAAGTGCTGTGCCTGCCACGACATCTGCAGATGGAGGTTCACAAAGTGCTGCGCCTGCCACGAAATCTGCACATCGAGGTTCACAAAGTGCTGTGCCTGCGACGAAATCTGCACAGGGAGGTTCACAAAGTGCTGTGCCTGCCACGAAATCTGCACATGGAGGTTGACAGGGTGCTGTGCCTGCCACGAAATCTGCACATGGAGGTTCACAAAGTGCTGCGCCTGTTACGTAAACTGGAGCTATAGAGCTATTGAAACCAGAGCTAACTGGAGCTCCCGGAGCTAGAGCTCTCGAAACTAGAGCGACCTGGAGCTAGAGCTCTTGCAACTAGAGCTAACTGGAGCTAGAGCTCTTGAAACTAGAGCTAACTGGATGATGAGTGGTGTATGATGAGTGGTGTATGATGAGTGGCGTATGAGGAGTGGTGTATGATGAGTGGTGTATGATGAGTGGTGTATTGATGAGTGGTGTATGATGAGTGGTGATGAGTGGTGTATTGATGAGTGGTGTATGAACAGTTCTTGAATGTCCGTAACACGGAAGTTTCGTAAACTAAACTTCCTTTGATCATGATTCTGCGCCTCCTGCATCGTTCTGGCGACAGCTCAATGCTTCAAAACCCCAAACAAGTTGCACATCAGCCTTAGGACACAGGATCACAATTTCACAGTTTTTCCTGTCCTGCCTTACTCTTGTGGCAATCCTCATACTTGGGTGCAGATCGGGGGTCAACTACCTCAGCCGATCCGCAGCGCCCATGGCCATCCGTATCAGCGTCTCCCTCGCCAGCGGGAAGTCTGTGGAAGTGGAGCTGCCGCCTGAGGCGAAGGTGTCCGAGCTGAGACACCGGGCGGAGCAGGAGTGGTGGCGGTGGAGTAGTTAGGATCTTCGATCGTTGGAGTTGGAACCATTGGGATCTCCACTGTCAAATGTTGGACCAGTCATCAGTCGCGCAGCCATATGATGCAAACGAATCAATACGGTATCGAATTTCATCTAATCATTGTTGCCTGATTTAAGGAGCTCCAATTCCTTTTTTTTTTGTGAGGAATTGGCTACGCCCATCAGCTACTTGGTCACTGGCAGCGGCCATGTGTTGCCACCGCACGGTGCCCTCCATGGTGCTCTGGCGGATCAGGAGGAAATCACCGCAATCGTCGGGCAATGGCCCAAAGTGGCCGCATCCATGACGGCCTTTGCATGTGTGAAGGCCGGCTCGGGCGAAAGGACGACTGTTCAACCAGGTACCGGATCAACCCCAGTGAACTTAAGCAAGTACTGGGATGGGAAACTCGATTTGAGAGTTAGCAGGCACCATGGCTTGGAATGTGTGTGCCTTGGAATGCTTTGACCCCCATTCCTTTCTGTTGCTTTGGGACAAGGTCCGTGGTTTTTCCTTGAACGTTATGGACTTGGCCAAGGCTGATGGCTCCGTTGAGGCCTGGGGGCCTGCCAAGCACGGAGGTGACTGCAGCGGTCAAGTCTTGCGGAAGCTCCCTGCAATAGCTTTTATTTGTGATCTATTTTTACTTTAATCACATTTATATAGTTTCACGGTTTGGACCAAAATTGTTGGATAGAGTACGAGAGAAGGGGACCTTAGTGCACTGGTATTATCATGTACTCAGCATGCTTGCTGGGGCGCGTCAGTCCTTTGTGGCTGCTGAACGAAGCTGCGTAGAACATGCGGTAGGACCTGTAGCACTTGTGCAGCGTCCTTGTTACTAGTAGCGATGCCCCACTCCACAGGAACGTGGTGAAGATCCGTAGCAACCTCGGGGCATTCGCCGCGGTGCGCTCTGATGGGTCAGTGGCCACTTGGGGGAGTCCCCGTGATGGCGGAGACAGCAGCAGTGTACAAGCGCGGCTGGTGGATGTCCAGGAGATACTTGGAAGAGCTTGGAAGCACTCAATCCAAGAGAGATGTATTTATGTTTAAATGCAATGCACCTGTTAATATCCAACGATCAGTCCTCTTGGTCTGATGGGGATCTCTGGACGGATGGTCATTTGGTTCTTTTCCTGAGGATTCATTCAACCAGCTGCGCCTTTGCCGCTCTCTTGGGCGATGGCTCCTTGGTGACCTGGGGAGATCCCCACAGCGGCGGAGACTCACAGGAGGTGAACGACGAGCTGCACGACGTCCGGCAGGCGTGGAGAAGAGGAGGTGGTGGGTACTCGGGACGTGGTTTGTTCGTTTTGGTTTGGTGACGTCAGGAATATTTGAGAATCATTGACTCATTTAATTGGGGGGACCACGGGTCCTTTTTACCTTTTTACGATCATTGGGGTCTTGTTGAGAGAGTGGAAGCGATAGTCCCACCTGGGAGAGAGATGGTCCACCGGATCGATGCAGATCCAAGCCAACATGGATTCCTTCGCCGTGATCCGTGCCGACGGCAGCGCCTTCAGCTGGGGAAGCGCTTCCGGATCATCCGAGGAAATTCAAGAGCAGTTGAAAGAGGTGGAGATGATCCAGGCGGTGAGCCGACAAGAAGATATATTGGTAGATTTACATACCCCTTGCATGTCAGAGGAGTTAGGATCAAGAGATTTGTCACCCGTTCTGCCATTGACAGGTCACCACCGCTGCGTTTGCAGCCATTTGCAAAGATGGACATGTGGTCACCTGGGGCAATGCGCAGAACGGTGCCAAGAGTGAGCATGTGCAAGGCATGGTGCTGTTTCTTCGACCGGCTTGGGTTTGTTGGACCAGTGAACTGGATCATCCGTTTTTTTCATATTTGATGATGTGGTGGACATAGTTTTAAGATGTTTTAAGGTTGCAGATGTTGCAGTAACCCAACGCAGCACAACTTGACAAAGGGGACTTGAATCAACTTGCACAGTCGTTCTTTCGAGCTGCAGTAGTCCCCCATCTTTGCTGCGGAAGATGTATTAGTAGGAAGGTTGGTGTGTTGTTGGAGCATTAAATTACGGGGGCATTTCCAGGTGCATGATTTGCATAAGCCAACCTCAAAAAACGGTTCTGTGTGCATCAAGGAGGCTGGAAGACCCTGGAAAAGCAAGAGGGTAATCTTCACTGCCTTTTTTGTGCAGGCCAGCTGAAGGCTGTCCAGCAGATCCAAGCCACGCACGCTGCATTCGCAGCTTTGCGTTCTGATGGTGCTGTGATTTCCTGGGGCTTGGGCGAACTGGGTGGAGACAGCAGCTCGGTGGAGCACCAACTGCAGCATCTCGGCGGAACTGGAGCACCCCCCAACGCCGCCACCCATGCTGGTCAACGTTGGCAACCTAGAAGCAAAAGCAACCTAACAGCGGTGACCTCCACCAATTGGCGATGGCCTCCAACCTGCTAGCGATGGCCTCCAACCTAAGAGCGATGGCATCCAACCTAAGAGCCCACTTCGTCCCAGGAGTGTCCTGGCACTCCAAGCAACAGACGGCGCCTTCTGCGCCCTGCGCGCGGATGGCTCTGTGGTGACATGGGGCAGTAAGGGCTACGGGGGTGACAGCGATGCGGTCCAGGAGCAGCTGAAAGAGGTGCAAGCAATTCAGGCCTTTTGGTCCATGTCGCGGGGGCTGTGGGTGTGTGGGTGCTAGTTGCACAAGGAGCTTTGGACGAGCAATTTGCAACCGTGGTTTACAATTTGCTATCGTCAATTTGCTATTAAACATTACTAAATCAACTGTCAGGAATTATTCAACGCTTTGGCTTTGCCATGTGCAATTGAAAGGACATGTCGTGCGGTAAAGGACATCAGTGCATCTTCCGAGCATCCACTCTGATTTAAGCTGTGTCCAGGCCACCCGGGTGGCCTTCTGCGCCTTGTTGCGCTCGGGAACCGTGGTGTGCTGGGGCGCCCCGCTCTTCGGTGGCACCACGCCGCATGCACCGCTCTGCGGCCCCGTCAAGGCCCTGCAAGCGACGCGGAGCGCCTTTGCAGCTCTGGTGGAGGGCGGGGAGGTCATGTGCTGGGGGGCTCCTGAAGAAGGAGGTGACAGCAGCGGAGTTCAGGAGCACTTGTGGCTTGGTGATTCTTTTATAATATCTAGTTTTATATTTATATAGATATAATACTGTTACTACTATTATGTTTTCAATTTTTTTTCCCCCTTGTGTGCGGTGTGCATTTCAGAACTCTGTGTTGGAGATATGGTGAGGACGTGCCAGCAATGTTTTGCATTTCTTCCTTTGAACGGTTTGGCTGGGAAGCCGACACATGTGTCTCACGTCCGAACGAGAAAGAACGCGGGGCCGGAGTAAAGAAACGCAATTCACCTATCAATTGGGGCTTCTTACATCTGTGGTTTTACTCGACACATGGGCCTTATGGCAAGCCAGATTGAATAGGTCGAACCCCATCACCCTGACTCATGACCAGCGGAGTAACATGTCTTAAAAAACTGTTCAGCTCTGGGGACCACACCTGCACAATCTTGCACACACATCTTCCATTGGTCCTCGGAAGGCATAATGTGGCTGAGATCCAAGCCAATGCAAGAGGATTTGCTGCCCTGAAGAGCGATGGCTCCGTTGTATCATGGGGTGGTGGGACCAGCCCAGCCTATGATCAATACCTTTACGCTATGAATGATTAGCTTGGCCCAAAGACTTGAATGCGTGGCACGAAGACATGCCTCAACCGTTGCATGGCAGCTACAGCATGCTACAGCAAGCGTAAGGCCCTCGACATCGGGGAGGAGACCTTCGGGCAGTGTGTGTGTTTCATTAACCTCAGTTTCCGACACCTCCTACTGGACATGTCTCTCGGGAAGATTTCCGCAGGTGGTTCACTTGGCGATCGTGTGAGGTCAGGCTACATCGGAATGAGCGCTTCTAGATTTCAGGAAATCTGGCTCAGATCATTTTATTGAGTTTGATCTGAGGCCACGCCTCTTGAGCATCTTCAGTTGCAGAGATTGATTGAGCAAAAAGGATCACTGTGTGTTCTTTGTTTGGAGATTGGTGGTTGCAGGCTACCTTCCCAGGACTCCAACAAATTCTTGGGTGATTCAGCTAGAGTTATAATGAGTTATATAGTTATATATATATAGTATGACTGTTGTTTTGATATATCTTGATGCAGGGTCCCGAGCCCCTTAGGAAGCAAATGAAGACATGTGAATCACTTGGATGCTGACTGACCTTTGAACAGCTAACTTGTAACAATAGCTCGTTCTTTCTTGTGTGTAGGCCATGTGTATCAATATCATTCAATATCTATATTCAAGCCTTCTCGAGGGGGGGGAACTTTCTTGTGGAATCCATGTGTATATGATGGGGTTCCAATGCATGTCGATAGACACGTTACCTGATCGACACGAGTCATTGGAACTCTCCAGCTTTGGCCCGGTCACGTCTTGGCACCAACGGCCCGGCCCGGCCCGAGGTGCTCGGCTCCTCCTTCTGCGCTCGACTTCATCGGTGGACCCTGGTGGAGCGAGAGGAAAAGACGTGCGGCTTCATGTTGTAAGGCCACCGTGGGGGTGTTGTTCTCTGTCCCCATCGTCGTGAATGCCTTTGGGGGGCGTACTGGTCCAAGTATGGTCCCGTTGGTTTTTCCACGTTGCCATCCCTGCCTCACAACGAAGACGCCGGGTTCGCTGTGTCGCCAAGGTTGCGCTTGTAAGTTGCGGCCGCAGGTGGGTTGGGGAGTTGATTGCTGGGAGAGGGATTCGGGACAATGGAAGGCTGGGCCATTCGTTCACTCCTATTCCCCAGTTGGATGTTGATGAGCTGAGTCGGTGTTAGGAATTTGCGGCTCACTCGGGAATCATTTTGGAATCTATCATGCTGTTGCCTGAGACACTGGTCCGCATTCCGTTGTTTTCGAAATCCTTTCGAAGTGTCATTGTGCTTTTCCCCATTCTTTCTTGGCTTTTGATCAAGAAATGAATGGAGTGACTGCCAAGTTCACTTGAATCTCTCAACTTTGGCATGACGTTCAACCGGTCTTGCACGGATTCGCTTTCCCAAATGGCCTGCAGAGCCTCGGTGGTTTAAGTCATATGGCCTAATAGCCTTGAGTCCTTGGCGGTCGGTTTTGCGGTGGAGCGGGGCTTGCACCGAGTCACCCTCCCCAGCAGACTGAAAGAGCTGCAAAGCCCATCTCTGACCCTCAGCGCGCAAGACTAGCGTTCCCAGCACCTAAACCGAAAAAAGAACGGTTTGCAGCATGGAGACAGAAACTTGAGATAGAATCATAGAACTGCCGACCGCGAGCTTGTGACACTGTCAAATTTTGAGCCCGACACATCAAGATGGAGAGGCAAGTCTACAATTCCCTTATAAGCCATCGTCCTCCACCTCGCGAACGCCTGAGTTCAGTTCTGCCCGGTTATTCTTTTTTCGAGCGACCTTTGTCCATGTCGGGCTTGACCATCCCAGGTCCCCAACCTGGAAAGACACAGTACACAACTCCATCAGCTACAACAGCACCAGAGCAGTTGGAGAAGTTCTGGGGTGCAAGTCCATTATCGATTTGCTCTCGACCAATGGGACCAACTGGAAGATCTACAAAACGTTAAAAAAACTACTAGTAACAAAGGGTAACGTTATTACGAGCAGGACACTACTAGTAGCTCCTGGCCATACTACTAGTAGCACAAAGCTAATACGGTGGAGGCCGGCTCAAAGCATTCTGTGCAAGAGAGTCGTGTCAGCCATGTTCCCCACCCACTCGGTCGACGGACCCGCCAGGTTCTTGAGCGAGTCTTGGAAGAGCTAAGGGCACGGGTGCTTGGAGTGACAAAAAACTACTGAGGGTCTTCGACAGGTGAACATAAAGCTCACGAAACACGAAGCCGCTGTGTGATTAAGACATCCAGGATATGCTATTATAATATGCAGCTCTTTGATTTCTCAGAGGGTGATGGCACAAACGATGCAATCTCTAGATATCTCTAGTAGCAAGAAGCTAGTAGGCGGAGGTCATCGCTATTAGGTTAGAGGCCATCGCTACTAGTAACAAGAAGCTACTAGTTAATTTGGATCTTTTGTAATGCTTGACCTTCGGCCCAACGCTTGTGGGCCATTCGTTGGACTTTCCGCAGCCGTTTGCCCCAAGCATCGGCTGCTCTTACCAGGCATTTCTGGCGGCTTGGATTGCAAAAGGATTTTTGTTGATCCAGCATACTTCTCATGTTTTCTGTAGCCCTAGGTCTTTTCATCAGGACATGTAATAGTTGTTTTGACATCCTGGTGTCACTCACTCGACCGAATCTTGAAGAATCGCCCAGGTCTGTTGGACGAACGTGCCAATGAAGCTTATGCAGAGGTGCCCTGCCATGCGACCGGGCCTTCGAATATGAACATGTCAAACCAAATCAACTATATCGAATTATTTTGCTCGCTTACGCTACCTGCCAATCATAGGGTTTTGTCATGAAGAACCATGCCACAAAACTTGATACCATGTCCATTGGCATGTGTGTTTTCGTCAAAGCCCATGGCTTTGGTTCCACACAGCACAAAACATCCAGGGAAGCGCACCAACTGCCGCCATTGCAAGTTACGACCCAAAGCACATGACACAATCGACACGCGGTTTTTTTGGCGCGATTGATGGCCAGGTTGGCCCTTGTCGCCCTTTTTTGGGCGCAGGTCGAGGGCTTCCGACGCCAGGCCAGGGTGTCTTGGCCCTTCGCCGTTAGTGTGTTCCTTTCGCATGCATGTTGGCCTCCACGCCAGGATGCACCAGGTCCACACATTGGCCTTGTGAATCCTTGTCACCCAAGTCACTCAGTCTCGGATGTCTCAGCCTATGTCACCTCATGAGGTCGAAAAGACGGGACTCCGAGGGCCACACGAGCCAAAGGCAGCGCGATGGGGGGTTGAGGATGTTGCAGCTTGTCATTTGGTTGGCTTTGTGTTGGATCGTCTCTCAGACCCTTTTGGACCATTGCAGGGGCGGTTAGACAGCTGTAGACCAACATAAACCCACCAACTGTGGAGGTGTGCTTTTTGTCTGCAAGATACACCAGCTACACTAGCCTATTGGCTGGTTCGTAGCACTTCTCAGTTCCCAGGCGCTGCTGGAAGAGCTTGAGAACGTCTTGGGCGCTGGACACCGGGAGGCGAAGGGATCGGAGGGACCGGCCTTTGAGGAGAGAAGAAGAGCGCTGGGGTGGGGTTGAGGGGTGTGTGGTTCCTGGTGTTTCTTCTTTATCTAGGACATTCGGCCTTGGGACACCTTTCGATCCTCACTTTCTTTTGACCCAATATGATTATTAATTATGGTTTTTGGAGGTCCAAAACTTCACTCTGCAACTGATCAGCTGGAATGTTGAGGTTGGGGTAAGACCAGGTATGCCTCCTGATGATGGCCTAAAGGTTTCCGAAGTTCGGGCCGGCTCACCTTGGCCGCCTTGGCCCTTAGGTCCTCCTGATGAGCATCTCGTCCGAGTGACAACGAACCAGAATCATCCACGAACGTCGAAATGCTTTGCAGCCAACAAATCTGAATGAATGAAGTGCATTTGGTCAGCATCCAGATGCATCAAACCGACGCTGAAATCCAAACCACGAGGGTTTGAGATTTCAGTCTTCCTCTCACCCTACCTAAGAACCTTGAATTTGTGATTCATCGAAGTAGGCAACATCTTCAATCAAAAGCTCACCACATGATTGGGGCTTTCATGGGCTTTCTGGCCTTAGGTGGAGGTGGACTCAAGCAGCGCCTCCGTTTGGCACAAATCCCGTTGCTGTAGTTCAGGCGGCGGAGCGTCGGCTGCAGGGATTGGAAGACGACCTACGAGTGACCTTCAAGGCAGGACAAAACGGTGGTTTTCAATTGAAAGGGTTTTGAACTGGAAGTAGAGGAGCCCTTCAGGTGCCGAATGCTCCATTTTTTGGATCCCAGGGAGGCTGCCGTTGGAACCCTACAAGAAGAAGCCGTGTTGGATGAACGTGTTCTGGAAGGCCTAAGATTGCTATGCAATTGCTTTACGCTCAAAGTGGCTGAATGCCTTCTGCAGGCGCTTCCCAAAAACCAGCGCGGTGCTTTGGAGGCACCTTCCGCACGCTATGCCCTGCACAGGCACGGGGCATGCTGTGAACATGACTGTGAACATGCTTTCAATGCAACAAGACCCTGCCACTGTATATACACGCAAACACTTTGTGACACACTCAACGGATACAGGATGATACAGGCGGCACGATTGGATAAACCTCGACATGCACCCCTGCCAAGGCTCTTCAACAAACGCCATGGTTGGCAGATCAAGGGTTTGGAGTCTGCAGGAGGTGAGTCTCTGGGGTCGTGTGGAGGCGGAATTGCCGTTTGGGGCCGTCAGCTCAGGTGGTACGTCGGTACGTTCAATGTGGGAGTTGGTTGGAACAGAAACAAGTTCTATGAGAATTGCTTCGGAATTGTTGGGACGGATGGGTCTTTGGAGATTCATATTGGCCAGTCTCTGACGGTCTGCCCCTTCAAAGACTTGACTGGCTATGAGGGGTCTGACTGCTTGGGATTCTGGAGCCGCCCAGACATCGCTCGTCTGTGATGTGGGGGTTTTGTCTCAGTGAAAGCGCACCCCTGGCCCAGGCCCACTCCTTTGTGCCCTCTTCCTCCCAATCGTCGCCAAGGGACGTGTCGTGGAGCAGTCACCTGACATTCGCGCACACGTGGATCCTGGTTTGCCAGGCTCATGGAATTTGGAGTCACCAGTGCTTGCCATGGGAGATCGTGTCCCTCCACAGATGTACGGAGACCTGAGTAGGTCACGTCTTTGATGATAAAGGACAGAAAGGCAAAACGTGCCGAAGGCCTTCAAGAGGGCTCTTTCTATGTTTTGGTTGTGGTTGACCTTTGGTGAATCTTTGTGCTTTGAGGGTTCCTGCCATTTGGCTTTAAAATGCTCTAAATATCCTTTTCTGGCTGATGCTGATGCCTCTTTCCGGATACAATGTTCCTTGAGAAAGTGCTC